GATAGATAGATAGATAGATAGATAGATAGATAGATAGATAGATAGATAGATAGATAGATAGATAGATAGATAGATAGATAGATAGATAGATAGATAGATGATGGATGGATGGATGGATGGATGGATAGGTAATGAAAGATAGATAGATAGATAGATAGATAGATAGGTAATGAAAGATAGATAGATAGATAGATAGATAGATAGATAGATAGATAGATAGATAGATAGAGAGAGAGAGAGAGACAGACAGACAGACAGACAGACAGACAGACAGACAGACAGACAGGCAGAGACAGACGAATAGATAGACAGAGACAGACAGACAGAGACAGACGGACGGATGGACGGACGGAGAGACAGACACAGACAGACAGACAGACAGATATCCTTTATTGTCATTTTTTTACTATGGGCACAATGGCACAAATTAAAAATGAAATTTAGTTGCTTGCTCTCAAAGTGTGCGCATACATTCATTTGAGTTTCCCATTTGATGTCAGGCGTGAATTAAGCTCTTTCCCCCCCCCCCTCTCTCTTTCAGCTGGAATTCACTCATGATCAAATTGAAGGTAAGAGGCTGTTCATTTTTCCATCTGTAATGAAAGGGGTTTTCCTAATTAATTAATTGCTAATTAATTCAGCCTGAAGGGGTATTTTGTAAGACCGATTCTTGGCATGTGCATCCTTCAGTAACAAAATAAAAAAAAAAACTGGAAAAGGGAGTTTATCAAAATGTATTTGTTATTACAGGTAAGTCCTCAGTTTATGTCCACCCGTTTAGCGACCATCTGAAGTTACAACAGCACTGAAAAAAATGACCAGTTCTCATACTTACGACAGTCACCACATCTCTCTGGTCACAAATTCAATGACTTGCAACTGCATTTGGGGACCAGAATTTCTCTGGCTAAGCGAGGCCGTTGTTAAGCGAATCATGGCGGATTTTACACGCTTTGTTGCAGTGGCCGTTAAGCAAATCAGTTAAGTTGTTCAGCGAATCATGTAGCCGTTAAACAAATCTGGCTTCAAATCTGATTCTGCTTGCTGGAAACCAGCTGGGAAGGTTGCAAATGGTGATCCCGTGGCTGTGAGGGTGTTGCGACGGTCGTAAGTATGAGGACCAGTTGTAACTCGATGTTTCAATGCTATTGGAATTTCAAAGGCAGCTAAATGAATGGTTGATTGCTAACCTAGGAAAAATCAATTCATAATATTCTGAATTCTATCATAGCTGGCTTGGGGATTCTGGGAGTTGGAGTCCTCCCCTCTTAAAGCATGCTGGCTGGGGATTCTGGGAGTGGGAGTCCTCCCCTCTTAAAGCATGCTGGCTGGGGAATTCTGGGAGTGGGAGTCCTCCCCTCTTAAAGCATGCTGGCTGGGGATTCTGGGAGTGGGAGTCCTCCCCTCTTAAAGCATGCTGGCTGGGGAATTCTGGGAGTGGGAGTCCTCCCCTCTTAAAGCATGCTGGCTGGGGATTCTGGGAGTGGGAGTCCTCCCCTCTTAAAGCATGCTGGCTGGGGAATTCTGGGAGTGGGAGTCCTCCCCTCTTAAAGCATGCTGGCTGGGGAATTCTGGGAGTTGACATCCATCCCTCTTAAAGGATACTGGCTGGGGATTCTGGGAGTTGAAGTTTATCCCTCTTAAAGCATCCTGGCTGGGGGATTCTGGGAGTTGACGTCCATCCCTCTTAAAGCATGCTGGCTGGGGGATTCTGGGAGTGGAAGTCCTCCCTTCTTAAAAGATACTGGCTGGAGATTCTGGGAGTTGAAGTTTATCCCTCTTAAAGCATGCCGGTTGGGGAATTCTGGGAGTTGAAGTCCTCCCTTCTTAAAAGATACTGGCGGGGGATTCTGGGAGTTGAAGTCTACCTATCCTAAAGCTGACAAGTGTCTATGGAGATTCTCCATCCTCCAGGTCCTGATTCCCCCAAAGGTCCTTTTTCACAAGGCCACTGGACTTTCTTGTTTTTCTCTGAAGACGTTTCGCTTCTCCTCCAAGAAGCTTCTTCAGCTCTGACTGGAGGGTGGGTGGTCAGTCAGAACTGAAGAAGCTTCTGGGAGGAGAAGCGAAACATCTTCAGAGAAAAACAAGGAAGTCCAGTGGCCTCCTGAATAAAAACACCATTGGGTAAAGGTTAAGGATTCGTCTCTGCTCTGAATTTTCCGGGCTGCCCGGCGTACTTCTTCAGTTTTTCACGTTGCGTCAGAGCCATCCTTATTCCGACTCCACCGCTAGACTTCTTCCTCCGATGGAAGGGACCCGCCTTCTCCTGTCTTATCTCCAAATAAAATCCCTTCAGAACCCATCGGCAGCCATGGCTTGCTTGGTGGTATTGGAAACTGAGGCAGGCAGAGAAGCTGGGAGTGAGCAGCGAGCAGCAGCGTAAATCAATAGGGTGGGATGAACAATAGCAGGAAGGGATTGTTCTGAATTTTTCTGCTTGCTTGAAACAAGTTGTTGGATAGCAAAATGGGGAATAACAGCATAACAGAGTTGGCGGGGACCCTGGAGGTCTTCTAGTCCAACCCCCTGCTGGAGCAGGAGACTTACCACCACAACTGAGCCCAACATTTCCATTGCTAAGTGAGACAGTTGTTAGGTGAATTTTGCTCCATTTTGTGACTTTTCTTGCTACAGGCTGTTAAGTGAATCACTGCAGTTGTTAATTTAGTAACATGGCTGTTAAGTGAATCTGGCTTCCCCCATTGATTTTGTTTGTCAGAAGGTCACAAAAGGGGATCACTTGAACCTGGGACACGGCAACCGTCATAAACATGAGTCAGTTGCCAAGTGTCCCAGTTTTCATCATGTGATGGTTATTAAGTGTGAAATGTGGTATTAAGCCCCTCCCTCTCCTCTCTTCTCCTCTCCTTCCTTCCTTCCTTCCCTCCCTCCCTCTCTCCTTCCTTCCTTTCCTTTCTTCCCTCCCTTCCTCTCTCCTTCCTTCCTTCCTTCCTTCCTTCCTTCCTTCCCTTTCCTTTCCTTCCTCCCTCCCTCCCTCCCTCCTTTCTTTCTTTCTTTCTTTCTTTTCCTTTCTTCCCCCTCCCTCCTTCCTTCCCTTCTTTCCTTTCTTCCCTCCCTCTCTCCTTCTCTTCCTTCATTTCCTTCCCTCCCTCCCTCTCTCCTTCCTTCCTTTCCTTCCTTTCTTTCCTTTTTTCCCTCCCTCCCTCCCTGTCTCCTTCCTTCCTCTCTCCTTCCTTCCTTCCTTCCTTCCTTCCTTCCTTCCTTCCTTCCTTCCTTCCTTCCTTCCTTCCTTCCTTCTTTCTTTCTTTCTTTCTTTCTTTCTTTCTTTTCCTTTCTTCCCCCCTCCCTCCTTCCTTCCTTCCTTCCTTCCCACCTCCCTCCCTCCCGTCCATCCATCCATCCATCCATCCATCCATCCATCTCTGACACAGTGGAAAATTCATAGCTGGGTAACCGATGGCTCCATTCCTGCAATGCAGTTTCTTTAATCTAATTATCAAAGTCTCCCTCTCTTGTGTCTTCGGAATGCCATGGTGGTTCAAATATCACCCCAGGGCAATTTATCCACGGAAGCACCCCACGGAGCGGCTTCAGCAGAGCTTTGAAGACTTTGCTTCTGTTGTTGGGAGATAGCCGGCACAAAATCATCTTCTTGTAATTTCATTTAGTGTAGCTCAGTCCCATAACCTAACTGGGAATCGATTGAGCATGTAAATGCCCCAAACTAGAACGAACTTAATGAACTGAAGAGGAACGAAGGAAAATAACCAACTAGAAACAGCACCTGTTGGTGCCCAATCTGGGTTGACAATTACAGGTAAAAATAACCCTCAAGTTACAGCCATTCATTTAGTGACTATTCAAAGCTACAGCGGTGCTGAAAAAAGCAACTTTTGACTGTTTTCCACACTTAATGTTGGTTGCAGCCTCCCTGTGGTCACGTGACCCAAATTCAGACGCTTGGCAACTGACTTGTACTTATGACAGTCGCAGCGTCCTGGGGTCATGTGATCCCCTTTTTTGTCCTTCTGACAAGCAAAGTCAATGGGGGGGAAGTCAGATTTGCTTAACAACCGTGTGACTAACTTAACAACTGCAGTGATTCACTTAACAACAGTGACAAGAAAAGTCACAAAGTGGAGCAAAACTCACTGAACCACTGTCGGTCCAGTCTGCAAAAGGTCTGTCCAACTTTGCAAAATAATAATAATAATAATAATAATAATAATTATTATTATTATTATTATTATTATTATTATTATTATTATTATTATTATTATTATTATTATTATTATTATTATTATTATTATTATTATTATTATTATTATTATTATTATTATTATTATTATCCAGGGCGGAAGTTGACCAACCTCTTCTGAACATCCTTAATTTGGATATTCTAATTTATGGAGATAAATCCAACATGTCTCTGGGAGGTTAGCATGACTCTTTACTGGACATCCAACTCTCTTGATAAGAACTGGAATTTAAAACTTTCAAAATGCTGTTGAACTTTGCAGTGCTTAAACAACCCAAAATTTTATGTTTTCCTGTATCTGAGAGTTGCAGGGGTCGGTGGCCCTGTTTTAAGCTAATTATGAAGATGGCTTTTTCCTGTTCAACTCCCACATTCTTTTGACTGGACAAATCTTATTTGGGTGACCTGTCCTTTTTTTAATTTATTTTTTAATCCTAACTATCCCTCAGGGAGACCGAAATGAGCTGGAATGACAATACAGCCGATAACAAGATCAACAGCAAAGTTTTTCAAACTTTCAAAAAGCAAACCAGATGAGAAAGTTCAGAAAATTGAAAAAATATTATTATTTTTAAACAGGAATTCAAAACACATTGGGAATATTTAACCCCCTTATTTACTTATTTATTTGTGTTTCCTATTTCCTAATTGCCTAATTCCCTCAGAGAGGGAAATGGCAACAAACAAAATGAAATACAGGTTGTCCTTGACTTACGAACATTCGTTTAGTGACTGTTCGAAATTACAACTGCAGTGAAAAAAGTGTTTTTTCACACTTACAACCGTTGCAGTATCCCTGTGGTCATGTGATCAAAATTCAGATGTTTGGCAACTGGCGTGTACTTACGACGGTCGCCGTGTCCTGGGGTCACGTGATCCCTTTTTGTGACTTTCTAACAAGCAAAGTCAATGGGATAAGACGGATTCACTTAACAATGGTGTTACTCCCTTAACATCTGCAGGGATTCACTTAACAACAGTGGCAAAGAAAGCTTGTAAAATGGGGCAATGTTCACTTAACCATTGTCCCAACAGAAATTTTGAGCTCATTTGTAAGTAAGTCGGGGTCTACCTATACAACAGAATGGTTGGAACAGATTTTAAAGACCTCGGGGGTCTTCTAGTACAACCTAATGCCTAAACAGGAGACCCTCCCCCCATTCTGGATAAATGGCTATCCGATTTCTTCTTAAAAACTTCCAGTGTTGGAGCATTCACCGCTTCTGGAGGCAGGTTGTTCCACTGGTTAATTGTTCTCACTGTCAGGAAGTTTCTCCTTAGTTCTAGCTTGCTTCTCTCCTTGGTTAGTTTCCATCCGTTGCTTCTTCTCCTGCCTTCAGGCGCCTTGGAGAATAGCTTGACTCCCTCTTCTTTGGGGCAGCCCCTGAGATACTGGAACGCTGCTATCATGTCCCCCCTCGTCCTTCTCTTCGTTAAACTAGACATACCTAATTGCAGCAACCGTTCCTTATATGTTTTAGCTTCCATTCTTCATACATTTTAGTATGAGCCAGCCGTGTGCTGCAGCTGCCAAAAAAGCCAACACAGTGTTGGGCTGCATTAACAGAGGGACAGAATCAAGATCACGTGAAGTATTAATACCACTTTACAATGCCTTGGTAAGGCCACACTTGGAATACGGCATCCAGTTTTGGTCACCACGATGTAAAAAAGATGTCGAGGCTCTAGAAAGAGTACAGAGAACAGCAACAAAGATGATTGGGGGACTGGAGGCTAAAGCATATGAAGAACAGGAATTGGGGATGTCTAGTTTTAATTAAAAGAAGGACTGAGAGTGACATGATAGCAGTGTTCCAATGTTTGAGGGGCTGCCCCAAAGAAGAGGGAGTCAAGCTATTCTCCAAAGCGCCTGAAGGCAGGACAAGAAGCAACCGATGGAAACTGACCAAGAAGAGAAGCAACCTAGAACTAAGGAGAAACTTCCTGACAGTTGGAACAATTCACCAGTGGAACAACCTGCCTCCAGAAGTTGTGAATGCTCCAACACTGGAAGTTTTTAAGAAGATATCGGATAGCCATTTATCTAGAATGGGGAGGGGTCTCATGTTTAGGCAGTGGGTTTTTAAGAACAGACTGGACAGCCATTTGTGTTATATGATATAGAGTTTCCTGCTTGAGCAGGGGGTTGGACTAGATGACCTCCAAGGTCCCTTCCAACTCTATTATTATTATTATTATTATTATTATTATTATTATTATTATTATTATTATTATTATTATTACTACTACTACTACTACTACTACTACTACTACTACAACTACTACTACTACTACTACTACTACTACTACTACTACTACTACTACTACTACTACTACTACTAACCTCCAGGGTCCCTCCCAGCCCTCTTATGCGATATTCCACTTTGCAGACAATGTCATGATGGAAAGCACAATTTTTTTCCTGATGGTGTTGTGCTGTTTTTTCCTCTCTCCGTCTTCTCCAGAATTCAGGGAGATTTTTGAACTCTTCGACCGGACTCCAAAGGGGGAACTGAAAATCACCTACGCCCAGTGCGGAGACGTGTTGCGGTCCTGCGGGCAGAACCCCACCCAGGCAGAAGTCCATAAAGTCCTCGGACGCCCGAAACAGGACGGTGAGACCTTCCTGAATGGAGTTGCACGGTGGAAATTCTGCAAAATTAGCTTTAGTGTGGTTTTTTCCCCCCACCCTTTCTCCGTAAGGTAGTCCTCTCTTAATAGCCAGTCACTTAGCGACCGTTTGAAGTCCCCATGGATTTTCCCAGAGCTGCTTATGACCCGGGTTCAAAATTCCAACAGCTGCCCCTCGCCAGCGCAGTCACGTGATCCCAACAGTTTGCGCTGGCTTGGATTGTTACTGTTTGCCACATCCTGCACTTACGTGATCATGTTTTGCGGGGTGTGTGTGTGTTGGTTTATTTCCTGCAAAGTTGGCATTGGAGAACATGGGTTCGTTTAATGACTGGTGCATTCGCTTAACGACTTCAGTGTCCGCTTAACAACAGCAGCGTTCGCTTAATGGCTGCAGTGTATTCTTAACAACTAACAATCGTTTGCTTTAACAATTCCAGCCTTTGTTTAACAACTGCGGTGTTCACTTAGTGACTGCGATGTTTCCTTAACAACTGCAGTGTTCACTTAGTGACTGCAGTGTTCACTTAACAACTGCAGTCTCCGCTTAACATCTGGCGTTCACTTAATGACTGCAGTGTTGGCTTAACAACTGGTGTTCACTTAACAAGCGGTGTTCACTTAATGACTGCGGTATTCGCTTAACGACTGCTGCGTTTGCTTAATGACTGCAGCATTCGATTAACGACTGCAACGTCTTCCCTCCAGAAGTTGTGGGTGCTCCATCACTGGAGGTTTCCAAGAAGAGACTGGGCAGCCATTGGTCCAGAATTTGTCTAGAGAGACTCTCCAGCTGGAGCAGGGGGTTGGGCTAGAGGACCTCCGAGGTCCCTTCCCACTCTGTCGTCATTCTGCTAACCATTTGCTTTGCGGTGCTGTGGTGAGCCGTGTGGACGAAACGCATCTTTTCCCTCTTTTTGACAGAAATGAACAGCAAGATGTTGGACTTTGACACCTTCCTGCCCATGCTCCAGCACATCGCCAAGACCAAAGACACCGGGACGTACGAAGACTTCGTGGAAGGCCTGCGTGTCTTCGACAAGGAAGGGAACGGCACGGTGATGGGAGCCGAGCTCCGCCACGTTCTGGCCACCCTTGGTAAGAACGACGCCTATGAGCCACGTTTTCTTCTTGCCCAGATTTGCAGCAAAGATGCAAACAGATAGTCCTCCACTTACGACCACAATCAGGATCCGATTGCTAAGTTAAGGCGGTTGTTCAGCCAGGTGTGCTCGATTTTTTAGCCTTTTTTTAAAAGCAGGGTTTTGGGGGGAAAAAATTACCGCAATTGTTAAGGGATCCAGGTGGTTGTTAAGCAAATCTGGCTTTTCCCATTGACTTTGTTTGCTGCAAAGGGTGATCACGTGGCCCTGGGATGCTGCAGCCGTCGTAAGTACATGCCAGTTTCCAAGTGCCCAAATTTTGATCAGATGATTATACTGTAGACTGATGCAATGGCTGCATTTATTTTTGTATTGATTGATTTGATTTTTATAGATGCCCATCTCGGCAAACAAGTCTGGGCAAATTCATGATTGAAACGTCTATTACAATTAAAGATTTAAAAACATGTTAAAATAATAAAATCAGTCAAAAGCATTACAGGTAGTCCTTGATTTTATAACAGTTTGTTTAGTGGCCGTTCGAAGTTACGACGGCAGAGAAAAAAGCGACTTGTGGCCATTTTTCACACTTACAACCGTTGCAGCATCCCCACAGTCACGTGATCAAAATTCAGACACTTGGCCACTGACTGACACTTATGACCGTTGCAGCATCCCTGCGGTCACGTGATCAAAATTCAGATATTTGGCCACTGACTCACACTTACAACCATTGCAGCATCCCCACGGTCATATGATCAACATTTAGATGCTTGGCCACTGACTCACACTTATGACCGTTGCAGCATCCCAGGATCAAGTCATCCCCTTTTGTGACCGTCAAAGTCAGTGGGGAAACCAAATTCACTTACCAACCATGTTCCTAAGTGATTCACTTAACAACTGAGACTTAACTGTCTCGCTTAGCAGCATAAATTTTGAGCTCCGTAGTGCTCGTTAAGTCAAGGACAACCTGTATTTGCGACCACTGGTCGTAAGTCACTTTTTTCGGCGCCGTTGTAACTTCAAACGGTCACTAAGCGAACGATAGTGAGTCGAGGACTGTGTAAAGTTTGAATCTTTTCGTTCTGCCCCTTCTCCTCTTAGCAACAGGAGGTAAGTCCCGTCCTTTTAATTATGTTCTTTTCCCCCCTCTGTTTTTCAGGAGAAAGATTAACAGAGGAAGAAGTTGATAAATTGATGGCAGGTCAAGAAGATTCCAACGGCTGTATCAATTATGAAGGTCAGATGGTTCCTCAGGAGATTAAACTTTTTTTTCTACGTTGAGGTTCGGGGTTGTGACCAAACCGAGCATTGATGTTCTCCCGGGGATTTGACCTTCTTGAGAAATGATGGGGGGGGGGAGGTAGATTATAAATTACTTCTATGAAAAAGATCAATGTGGATGGGAGGATGGAATAAATGATGGCTCATGAGTTCCTGTCCAGACGTGAAGTGATCCGATGGGATATAAATAATTCAGGTCCTCTAATTGATTTTAAAGTCCAGATTGGGGATGTAATAGGAGGGGGAATAATACCTACCATGCAAAGGCATCATCAAATCTTTTCAAAGGATTAGATTTTCAGGACAATTAGAATAGAATAGAATAGAATAGAATAGAATAGAATAGAATAGAATAGAATAGAATAGAAATGTAGAGTAGAGTAGAGTAGAGTAGAACAGAACAGAACAGAATAATGAATAGAATAGAATAGAATAGAATAGAATAGAAAAGAATAGAAAAGAGTAGAGTAGAGTAGAGTAGAGTAGAGTAGAACAGAACAGAACAGAACAGAACAGAACAGAAAGGAATAGAATAGAATAGAATAGAATAGAATAGAAATGTAGAGTAGAGTAGAACAGAACAGGACAGAACAGAACGGAACAGAACAGAACAGAACAGAACAGAACAGAATAGAATAGAATAGAATAGAACAGAGTTGGAAGGGACCTTGGAGATCTTCTAGTCCAACCTCCTGCTCAGGCAGGAAACCCTACCATTTCAGACAAATGAACCGAGATACCTTAAGGGTATAACTTACAGAATGGATCCAAAATCTGGATCCAGAGAAAATGATATTTGGGGAAAGTGTGGCTTGCTTTAAGGCTACTGACTGCTGTTGTGCTCCTAGGCTGCTGCTGCCGCCGCTGTGGTCACGTGATTTTCATTTTCAGTGTTCCGTGACAATTTCCCAGTCAGTCTAGCAATCCTTCACTCCCTTCCCCAACAGACCAGCAGCCACTTACCTATCTGCTAGGGAGGGAAAGGAGGGGGGGAGATAAGAAGGAAGGAAGGAAGGAAGGAAGGAAAGAAAGAGAAAGAAAGAAAGAAAGAAAGAAAGAAAGAAAGAAAGAAAGAAAGAAAGAAAGAAAGAAAGAAAGAAGTCGCTTCCACTCATTCTATTTCTCTGCTTAGTTAAGCATATATCCCTTTAACAACGACCCAATGGGGCACATATTTTCTAGTGATGGTATTAAAAAAATTTGGAAGCAACCTGGCAGATTTGGGGATTTATAATAGGCAGAAAAGTGGCATTCTTGCAATCATTCACAACACCCCCCCTTTTTTTCTCCTGTTTATTTTAGCCTTTGTGAAACACATCATGGCAAGTTAAAATGGCAGGTAAGGGGGTCCCTCTCTTAATCCTCCCACGATTCCCTTTTGCAGGTTTGTTTACCTATTCTCCAGTCTCACCCTGGGAGCCGATTGTGGCTTAGATAATCCAGCAGCTTCCTCTAGCTTTACGTAGCCCAGAAACCCTGATTTGTTGCTATCGTTTCTTTTCCGGTCCATCCGAAGGAAATACAAGCAGTCCTCAACTTACAACAGTTCATTTAGTGACCGTTCAAATTACAACGGCATTGAAAAATGTGACTTATGGCTGTTTTTCACAGGAATAACCTCTGCGGCATCCCCCCCATGGGTCACGTGATCGAAAATCAGATGCTTGGCGACTGACTCATATTTACAACGGTCGCAGTGTTCCAGAGTCACGTGATCCCCTTTTGCGACCTTCTGACAATCAAAGTCAATGGGGGAAGTCGGATTCACTTAACAACCATGTCGCTCACTTAACAGCTGCAGTGATTCACTGTGCAGGTCGTAAAATGGGACAAAACTCACTTAACAAATGTCTCACTTAGCAGCAGAAATTTTGGGCCCGATTACAGTCATAAGTAGAGGACTTTCTGTATTCTCATTTTCCATCATTGCAGCCATAACGAAGTCGACCAGCGAGTTCTACTGAGGTGGAAGGAACGGATGTAAATGCAAATTTAAATCTAGAAATGGAGCTGAAACCAAATGACTAATTGGAGATAAATCTAGAGAAATCCTGAAGCAATTCGAATCTAAGTCTGAAATCATATACAGCTAGTCCTCTCCTTATGACCACAAGTGAGCCCAAAATTTCCGTTGCTAAGCAAGACAGTGGTTAAGTGAGTTTTGTCTCAGTTTACAACCTTTCTTGCCATAGTTGTTAAGTGAATCACTGCAGTTGTTAAGTGAGCCACACGGCTGTTAAGTGAATCTGGCTTCCTGCTTGTCAGAAAGTCACAAAAGGGGATCACGTGACCCCAGGACACTCAACTGTCATAAGTACATGCCCGTTGCCATGCCTCTGAATTCTGATCACATGACCCTGGGGATGCTGCAACGGTCGTAAGTGTGAAAAATGGTCATAAGTCCCTTTTTTCACTGCTATTGTAAGTTTGAACGGTCACTAAATGAATTGTTGTAAATCTGGGCGAGATGCATCCAACACTATTTGTATCCCTGCGTGCAAAACAGTGATGTGGTCACAGGGGTATTCCTCGATTTACGACCACAATCAGGGCCCAAATGCCTGTCATTAAGCAAGGTGGTTATTAAGTGAAGTCCGATTTTGTGACTTTTTTCGACCAAAGGTTGTTAAGTGAATCACTGTGGCTGTTAAGTGGTCCCCCACGGTCATTCAAAAACGATGGAGACGGAGAGAGAGACTTTTGCAACCAACATTTTTCCTCTTCTTCGTTCTAGACAGTTTTTGTGTACTCCCGTCACAAACTCTGAAGACGGGGTTTTGCGTTATTTATTTATTTATTTTTTACAGTTCAACAACCAGCAACTCTTTGCCCCAGTCTTGGGATGACTCAGAGGCCGTGTTGATATACAGTTGTTGTTTTTTTCCTCCCCTCTTGGGAGAAGTTTGACGGAGCCTTTTTCCTGCAAAAATGAAAATGTGTGGGTACATTCCCTAGATAAAGAAGAGAGAAAACAGCCTAATTTTGGCTTTATCGGTTCCTGTTGTTTGTCTGCTCCGGTTTGCTTATCACCTCCAGCTTCCTGGTCATCTTGGCCAATCGGCTCTGGAATGACTCAAGTTTTGACGGGCTCAGATTGGGGTCCTTATCTGTTCTTCCCACGGAGGAGGGGAAGGGAAGGAACGAAGTGAAAACTGAGGCCGCAGTTAATTTGCTCTGCATTGTGAAATGCACAGCTCAGGCCTTCTTCCCTCCCTCCCTCCCTCCCTCCCTTCCTTCATCTTCCTCCCACCTTCCCTGTCTCTCTCCTTCCTTCCTTCCTTCCTTCCTTCCTTCCTTCCTTCCTTCCTTCCTTCCTTCCTTCCTTCCTTCCTTCCTTTTGCCCTCCTTTTTTCCTCCCTTTCTTCCTCCTCTTTTCATTTTCCTCCACTTTTTTCCTCCCTGCCTCCTTCTCCTTCCTTCTCTCCCTCCCTCCTTCTTTCCTTCCTCCGTCTCTCTCTCCCTTCCTTCTGCCTATCTCTCCTTCTTTCTCTCTTTTCTCCCTTTTCTTTTTCCCTTTCTTGCTCCTTCTCTCTTCTCCTTCCCTCTTTCTTTCCTTCCTTCCCCAGCCCTCTTTCCTTCTTTCCTTCCTTCCTTCCTTATTTTCCTCCCTCCCTCCTTCTTTCCTTGTTTCTCTCCCTCCCTCCCTCCCTCTCTCTCTTCTTTCTTCCTTTTTCCCTCCATTATTTCTTTTCCCTTTGTTCCTCCTCTCTTCTCCTTTTCTTCCTCCCTCCCTCCCTTCCCTCTGTGTCTCCTTCCTTCTCTCTTTCTCCCTTCTTCCCGCCTTTCTTTCCTTTCCCCCTTTCTCCTTCTCTTTTCTCCTCCTTTCTTTCTTTCCTTCCTTCCATCCATCTTCCCCTTCCCTGTCTCGAAACCATGCAACTGAAGCCCCCCTCCCCTGCGTTTGACACGACAACCCCACAGGAGGGATGGGGCTGCTGGACTGCACCTGGTTGCCGTTATTTGACCCACTCCCCCTGCGGAGACCCCCCGTGCAAAACCAAAAGTAAAAGAAGAAATTAAGCAGCCTAGCTCCTGGCCAGGCTAAGGGCTCCCCCCTGTCTTGAACCCACAGCCGCCCTCTCCCTTCTGCTCCAAATTGCTCTTTGCAAAGACCCATGTTTGTGTTTGTGTGTTTCGGGTTGTGTGTTTGCCAGCTCAGCCCACCCACAGATTCTGCTTTTTTTTTTGCACAGGTTGCATCCCTGTGATTAGAGGCAGCAATTTGTTTCCTCCACGCCCCCCTCGTTTATTTTTGTGAACAGCCCCCCC